GAGGATATAACGTTACATTTCATAGACTTACTTTGCAAAATAAGTTTCTATAATATAAATAAGGTTACTGCATATAAAATAGTATATACGCATTAAATTTTGAATTAAAAAAGTTAGAGTTTTTTACGAAAAATTCAGCAAATCAACATAACTCCGGTAAAGATGTAAATTTTCGTCAGAAGACTTCATCACATAATCTTACATAAATAAATTTAAATGTTTCCAGAAACAATTTACCATATATCTTCCTAGCCGAAGTGATATCTTTAAATAGAATCTACTCGAAGTAGATCCTTTAAACTTAAACTCAATTATTAAATAATTGAAAGTGATTACAAATCGTTAAAAAAACGTATAATGAGGCAGTAACTCCCATAAACTGACACGATGACTTCAGATATTTTTCCTCTTAGTGAACAAAAAATAAAAACGGGAAAATACAAACCAATTACATCAGAAATGAATAATAATGTTAAATTTCTTGTCGGAATTTATGATTGATTAATAAATGAACTTATTTTTTTAAGATTTGTGGTATAAACCGCATACACAAAAATAAAATTACTAATAAATCATAAGTTATTAATAAACTGTAAAGTTTGTGGTTTATTTTGTTGTAATTAAATATTTCAAAATAATTTTTTGTTACTCATATTAAATTTAAATTAGACATATTTGCTAAGATTATTAAAAGGTTTTTTATACTCTACGGTTTAGCAATGTTTTGGAAGACACAATAATTAATATCAAAAGAAAATAAATATTTTTATAATTTAGTGAAGTAGTGTGTGTGTGCAATCTAGGATATAGAAGTAATCCCCAACATTGGGGGAGACCACTATTATATAATGTTTACTATCGAACAAGGATTGCAGACCCACTTCTTAAATATCATTTTAATAAATCAAACATTGAAAAAATAAATAAAGAAGTAAACCAACTAATTTCAAACAACACTAATATTATTACCAATGAAGTCAATAACTTTCACACAAAGGTCTCCGAGATTATCACAAACAACACACCAAAAACTGCAAACAAATATTTTACTTATGAATTTCCTAGATACATACTGAAACTCATCAAAACAAACATGAAGAATTTTAACAAAGACATTCAAAAATTAGTAAAATAATTTCAGCAACACACATGGCTACAGACTTGCCAAGAAATCAATCGAGGACAGGGAAGAAACTTCTATCATAAAATAAATAAACTGTCAAAATATAAAACCAGGAATAAAATTTCAAATATCACAGATGAAGAAAATGCCGATGCATTCAAGGAGAACTTCATTAAAACATATAACGCAAGAAAACTGGAATAATGTAAACTCATGGTGCAAACAATATTTTAGAAACAACCCAATCAATGAGGAAGATAACACAGAATTCGAGGAGGAAAAATACTTTCAAATAGTATCAAATCAGAAAAACTTAGCTCCAGGATCGGACATGATCCCATGGCAAATTGTGAAAAAAACTAGAATATAATACATTATAAAAATGTTACAAAAACTCGTACTTACATTAATGGAAAAAAGGAACCATCAAAGTTATCCCAAAACCAGGCACAGACCACAAAAGAATTGATAATTACATCACCTACACTCATCATATCTAAGCAACCAATCTACCTCGTATCATCAGTGAAATACCTAGGCCTGATTATTGATAATAAGCTGAGCTTCAATGAACACACCCGCAGACAAAAAAACAAAATCAAAACCAGATCCAAACATCTTTCACTCTTTAACATACAAAAAGAAGGTACCAACATCTACACAAACAATTTACAGACCTCTCCTGAAATACGGTCACACTATATATTTAAACTGCTGAAAACCTGTATTAAAAAACATTCAAGTGGCATAAACTTCTACACTAAGAATCATCACTATCAAGCGAATGAATATCTATCGAAAAAACTAAGATTCAGCCTATCCTGGAAAGAATTAAAAAACTTTCAAAAAATTTCTCGAAGAAACAAAACAATCACATGCTAATAAATATTTTTTCGATGAAACGACAAATTGGTCAAACAAAGTTTAAATACCCAGTGAGATCAATAATAGAAACCTTAAACGAATTTGCCGATGAACAATAATTAGTGACCCATATTGTTTTTTTTTAAGTATCTTAATATTCGTATTCATCTTACACATATAGTTTGTAAATCCTCATATACCATGCAAATTGCAAATTGTACTGGCTGAAAGGCCCATGGTGATGTCCATTTGGTTGTAATATTCATAACCAATAAAGTGCTTTTATTATTATTATTATTTATTTCATTTTTATTTTATTTATTTACGGAAAATCTCCTTTTACAAAATAATTATTATCAGTAGATATTTTAAACCTAACCTAAAGTATCACACAAAAAAAGAAAAAAAAACTTAAATATCACAAAAAACTTAGAGCTAAAGCAAACTCGATAAGTACTCCCTCAACTGATTTTTAAACATAAACCGACTGACTCCCAAAAGATCAGTGTGTCTGTTAATTTCATTTCCTTGCCTTTGAAATCTGGTTAAAGGACTGTTGAGTCCGTAGTTCGTATGATGGAAGCTAATTGAAAATAATGGTTTCTCTCTAATATTTATGTTGTTTAATCTAAAGTTTATTAGCTCCAACATATCCGGACAAGCTATATTCCCTTCCAGGAGGTTATGAAGAAATAAAAGATCATTACTAATTAACGTTTTCTCAACTGACAATAAGTTTAAATGGTTATTAAGCTCCCTCTTAGAAATATAAGGCATATGTAACCTCCACTGACAAGTTCTTAAAAACCTATTTTGAACTGCTTCTAAATTTAAAATATGTGTTCGGTAATGAGGTGACCAGACTGGTGAAGCATATAAGAGGATGCTGCGCATTAGTGTTAAGTACAGAGTTCGGGATGTAGGTACAGAGAATTCCTTAGAGTTCCTGGTCACAAATCCCAATGTTTTCAGAGCTCTACTAATGATGGATCTCATGTGTGAGACAAATGTCAAAGAACTATCGAAGATCACACCTAGATCCTTGATTTCACTAACTTTCTCCAAAACAGTAGTATTGATATTATATTGAAAATTTATAGGGTTTTTTGATCTTGTGAAGGTGATTGAAAAACAGTTACGTGGATTTAAAGACTTGGCATTATTTAAAGCCCAATTAATAAAATAGTTTAAATCATCCTGTAACTTCAAACAGTCAGGTAAGTTTAAGATTCCCATGAATAATTTCAGGTCATCGGCAAATAGTAGGAACTTTAAATCTTGAAGCCACATCGTTAATAAATATATTAAATAGTAATGGTCCTAAATGAGATCCATGGGGAACACCTGAACTTACATTTATTGGAATCGAAGTAAAACTTTTAACTTTGACATATTGAAGCCTAGATTGCAGGTAACTTTCTAACCATTTCACTAAGTAGTTTGGAAACCCGAATTTCACTAGTTTCCTTAAAAGCAAATCATGGTTCACCGTGTCAAATGCCTTCGAGAAGTCAGTGTAAATTGTTGAGTCAACTTGACACCCCCTCTCGAAGGCAGAAAAGATATAATGTTCGTAGAGCAGTAAATTTGTATTAGTAGACTTACCTCCCATAAACCCATGCTGTTGTTCAATCAAAATGTTTTTGCAATGCCATGACAAAGGTTTATATAACAATAATTATAATAATTTAGGTATTGCAGAAAGTAAAACTATAACTATGTCATCTTTCTGACCATTTTTAAATATGGGGGTAATGAAACTATCACGCCATTTTGCAGAAAACTGTTGTAATTTCAAAGAGGAATTAAATAAAAACTGTAGTGGTTTGGAAAGAGTGAATTTACATTTTTTCAAAAAATAAGCAGGGATTCCATCTGGACCATAACTCAATTTATCTTTTAGGGAGTTAATACCTTCATGAACATTCACTTTTGGCGTCAATCCATCATCAACACATCACCAATAAAACATATTTGAATGGAATATTAGTAACTAACAGGTTGATTAACAAAAGAACTTCAAAATATTAGGAGTTATTGCTCCGTTATTGAGAAATAATTTGATGGCCTATCATACCCCTACCTTTAAATTTTCAGAAATCATAGTCGAAAGGTATTTCCCCTATCGTAGGAAATGCCTTAGCAGATTTATTTAGTTATATGTGTGAATTAAAGATTCGAATGTATTAGTAAAATTATTTTTTGATCTTGTTAAGAAAGAGATTTACTACAATTTGATAGTTTTCGTTTAAAGAATAATGCATGTTTGATAATGTTAATTCTCTATTAAAAGTTGTCCTTTTTTTTTAGAAAATTTAGTAAACTTTATATTCTTTTTGACGAAACATACCACTTTTTCAAAAAAGTATGCTAACCCAAGGTGGTGCTACTTCTTCTCTTTGCACATAAAAAAAATATGGTATTATCTTTAAAATTGTGTCTTACAGGATTAAAACAAAATGAATACAAATTTCTTGTTATTGTCAGTGGACCAATAACTCTTATTAAACTACAAAATATCCAGAAATTTCAATAATATTTATATAATCGTTTTAAATTATATATTATTTAAGTGTAGAAGGATATTTCTATAATTTATAATAACTATAAATTTTTACGAGGATAAGGTCAGTGATTTAATAATGCAACTTTTGGTCATTGACCATGAAAAACTATACATTAAAAAAATAATTTTATAATAATTGATCTATCATCTTATTAGCGTAAAATAACAAATTAAAATCCTTTCACTGGATTAAATCAATACTACTCGTATATTAAATAAAAATTCCGTTTGTTATTCTAATAAGTATTTTTCCTTTTTAGACTAGAATAATAAAGAATATTAATATTAATAAATGCATTTTAGTTCATCTCAATTATTTTTAATGTTGCGTTTTATACAGAGCAATTTCAAAGATTAATCTGTCGATGTAACAGTTCTAAAAATGCATTAAATTAAACATTTGTATTTTTTTTAGTTTAATTGAAAACTCTATTAATAATTACTTACTTGTTTTTTGATTATATTGGTAGATATTCCAAAATTTTTGATTTAACGTCATTATTTGTATATTTATCAATTTTATTTATCCCTTTTTGTCTTGCTTTCATATCTGCTAGTCCCTCTTTTCGATTTTAAATCATTTTTCACATTGTTAATACACCAAACTAAAAAGTTTTTTAAAAGCCTAGTTTACAAAATAAGCGTCTTTTTAAAGTCTAGTACGATAACAATGTTTTTAATAATTAAACACTCATATTAACACTAATTAGAAAGATAAATATGTAGATAATTGCAAAATGGGTAATAGTAATATAATGTCATTAATTAAGACAATAACTGCAATATAGATTAAAAAATTTCGTAACCATTTTATTATATCTGTGCTAATCTTGTGCTATTTGTGAAAAGTCAGAAATTATATTTGTTATCTTAAAAGAAAAGATTTATAATAACAGTGGCTTAACCAGAAATTTGCCATGGGGGTTTATATATCTCAGAAACTGAAGATACATTATAATGAAATTTTTTTGTAATTCTAGTACTTATTTTGTTGATTTTATTGAATTTTTTACTGTTTTTCTTTCTTAGTTTTTACTTTCCTATCGGTATACAGATAAGGAAAATATAGGAATCATGATTTTTTTCGACCTAGAGTTTTCAACGGATTTTTACGTTTTGGGGTCCCCTGAATCCGTTTTGACTATTTTCGCGATGATTTTTTTCTTTTCACAGTAGCCCTAAATTTGTTCAGAAATTAAATGTAAGTTTTGAAATCATGTCTCCCATTCTGTTCACATACGAGATGACTGTTGTGTTGTCGATGCGAATTAAAATATTGCTACTGTATGTATTCTTTGTAAAAGATTTTAAAGCATTAAAAGCAGCTAATAATTCTAAGTAATTTATGTGCTTGTTCGTTTCATCAATAATCCAGAAGCCGCGAGCAATTTTATGTCCATAAACTGCCCCCAGTCTATTTTTGACGCATCACTGAATATTGCAATGTCATAAGTGGGTATTTTAATGTTATCGCAACTGCTGGGCAGTTTTTCTAGCCACCAGTTTATGTCAATGGATAAAGAGGTAGGGATAGCTATATATATTATATAAGTTTTTCTTTTTTTTTATGTGTGGTTGAAACTTATTATTATTATTATTATTATTATTATTATTTGATAAGAGCAGGGGCTATAAGACCCATAAGCCTGAATATAAAAAAATATTACTAAAAAAGTAAAACCGATGAATAAACAATGAAACAAATGAAATGGTTAATTAAAAAATAGAAAATTATCAATTTCGTTCTTGAAAACATTGACAGATGGAGCATTTACAACATTCTCCGGTAGAGAATTCCAAATGTAGAATATTCGATTAAATAAAAAAATTTGCCTCGTTTTCGTAAAAAATTGTTCTTTTTTCAGCTTCCATTTATGGCCACGTAGTCGATTTTCACTGTCCACGATGAACATACATTTTAAATTTCCAAAATTATATTTTAAAATACGAAAACAAATTATCATATCACCCTGCAGACGGCGATTTTCAAACGTTTGTAGTTCAGCCATATGTAGTATCTCTGCGTAATTAGGTCTCATACGTCCGAAAAATAGTCTGGTTGATCAGCGCTGCACATTTTCAAGAATATTTTTATCCCGCACTAGTTCCGGACACCACACAGCTCCGCAGTACTCGATGATCGGACGAATGTATAATTTATACAGCCGGATCAAATTTTGAAAAGACACTTTTGCGAATGTTTTCTTTAATAAATACATTTTCGTGTTCGCCTTTTTTGACACTTGAAGAACGTGCTCAGACCAGCTGAGATTTTCAGTAATTATAACACCTAGATCATTGTAAGATTTAACTTTATTTAACGTATGACCGTTTAGAAAATAATTATGTCGAGGATTATTTTTACCAATATGGAGAACTACACTTTTATTTGTATTTAAAGGTAGCATCCAATCTGAGCACCAGTTATAGTTGGAGTCAAGGTCATCTTGAAGCTGTTGGAAGTTCAAAGACGGGTCACTAAATATTTTAGTGTCATCTGCGTAAAAAATATTCTTACACTTGAAATGGAATTGAAGGACACTGGCATATATTATAAATAAGAGTGGACCCAGAATTGATCCCTGAAGAACCCCATTCAAGATTGGTCTTTCAAGTGAATGCAGTACTTTCTATCAGTTAAGAATGATTCGATCCATTTAAGTAAATCACCACGTATACCAAGGTGTTCTAACTTATATAGTAATCTTCGTTTTGGCACACGATCAAAAGCTTTCGCAAAATTCAGATAAATAATGTCTATAGGTTTTTCCTGTCTAATGAAACTGTCCACTCATTTACACACCAAAGCAAATTGGTCATGGTTGATCGCTTTTTACAAATCCATGTTGCTGTTTGGGAATGATTTCTTCCACTAAGAGAAACTGAGAAACGTGCTCTGTTATTATGGATTCCATAACTTTACAGATTATGGGTGTGAGGCTGATTGGGCGGTAGTTATTAGAGTCTAGTTTGTTTCCTTTCTTGAAAATGGGTGTTACAGAAGCTGTTTTCCAGATAGAGGGCAATGTGTGTGTATTAAAAGACATTATAATAGATGAAGGAACTGATATGTTATTAGAGCATTTTTTTAAAAATAGTGAAGATATTTGATCTAGACTCGGAGTTGTTTTTTTAATTTTAAAAGGTGACGTTTGACAATTTCAGGAGTAAAATTGAGCCGTTCTAAGGAAGAAGGGATTCTTTCGGGTGAGATATCTGGTAAATGATCCTGGGGAGATTCATTGGTGAAAACTTTTGTAAAGGTATTAGCTAAAAGTTCAGCCGTTTCGAAATTATTTTGGCAGGTACTTCCATCTTCTTTGTTTAGTAAAGGAATGGATACTTTTGATGACAGTGAAGATCTAATATATTTGTATAATTTTTTATAGTTTTGGCTGCATGCTATCGACTCTTCATATTCTTCTCGGGCCTCATTTTTAAATTTCTTTATGTCCTTGGAAAAAAATTTTGTGATATTTTAGATCGACAATAATATTTGATCGCTTATATTTACGCCATAATTTACTTTTATGTCTAATCAAGGATATTAGTTCTTCGTTGATCCACGGTTTTAATTTAATTTTGTAAAACACCTTCTTTTTAGAGTATTGGATTTTATGAGTAGCAATAAAGGTTGCGAACTTATTCCATACTTCTGCCGGATCTCCCGAGTCACCCAATGTTTCTATCCAGTCGATGATTTAAGTTATCGAAATCGATGATTTCATATGATGTAGTATGATCTTTGTAAGATGGGTTCTCTATTTTAAACTGTATACGACTTATGATGACTGCATGATCCGATATTACTATCGGAGATTGAATGATAGGGTCAGTTAATAATTGTTTATCATTTACAAATAACAAATCTAGCGTGGAAGGAATATTGTTGACTCGGAATCGTGTTGGATCTGTTATAAGTTGTTGTAAATTAGAGCTTAGAACAAAGTTCAAAAATTTATTTATTGAGTGAGAATAACTGGCCACGAAATATCTCTGAAATTATAATAATAACAACATTTTCTAGTGAAGACAGATATTCTAGTTTTTCAATAAGAATTGTGTCTTCAGCTAGTTGAGAATCTCCGGGACGATAAATACAGACTAAATGAAGAGTAATAGAGCTAGAATAAATTTTTAAACATAATAATTTCATATTAGGGACACTAATGTCAAGAGGAGTAACAAAAAAATGTTGTGTAAAATCTGATGATAAATACCACTTGTCAATATTTTGTGTAGCACAATTTTTGTGGTTAAACTTATACCACTGGTCAATAATTTTAGTAACACTATTTTTTGTGGTTAAAACTTTTATATAAATATTTTTTTTGTGGCTAAAACTTATTAACACTTTGTCAGTATTTTTTGGTTAAAACTTATACCACATTTTTTGTATAACATAGTTTTTCTTATTAATACTTATCACTCGTGTATATTTTGTACATAAAAAAAAAATTGTTAAAACTTATACCAGTCCAATATATTTTGTATAGCACAGTGTTTGTGATTAAAACTTATACCACCCTGTATACGCGTTTGCTATTTTTACATGCATGTCTCAAAAGAATACGAAATTTTGCGTTTAAAACTTGTGCCGCTGAGTACTTGCCCAAAACTTTTAACATACTTATATTATTTATTTCGCAGTAAACTAACAATGTATAGAAAAAACTATTTAATATAATTTCTAAATGACTTACATGATTCTTTCGACGTAACAATTGAAAACGAAGAATCACCATCGGATGATGTTGATGAATTTAACTTTCTTCTTTTACTCTGCAACATCTTAATTTTCCTAGATATTTCCTCACGTTTCCTTTTCTTCTTTTATCTTCCATTGGCCATATTTAATAATTTGCACTCGTTTAAAATAAAATTCCACTTGGTATTTTTATATTTTAATGCGACACTTATCACACAAAGAAGTGTTCTGACGGCCGCAGTGCTAGCGGCGATAAGGAAACAGACAAAAAAGTGTGATTCATTAGTTAAAATTATGGCACGTAAATATCGCAAAGAAGCTACTACCGGATGTTTCAAGTATTTGGAAAAGGCCAGTGAAATATAATGTTAAGATTATACATTTAAATCAAGCTCTCCATGCCAGACAGTTCTAACAGCTTTCGGCTATTATTGTTTTTACAATCACCTCAATTTTACATCATGATCATTTAAATCAATATCATGATATAGTAAAGATATAAAATGCCATTCAGACACAAAAATTTTCATTCAAATCCATCAACCGCAAAAAAAAATAATTTCAACTGTAGCCTGCAGTGCAGCGAATTACATAATAGAAACCGCTGACCTGTCGAGAAGTTCCGAGAATTCCACCAGCCGGCAGTTCAAGTTACCTACTTGTTATCTCTGAACAAGTGTTTAACATTTTTTTTATTTTACTTTCAGTCTGCAATTATTAAGGTCATAAAAATATTGTACTTGTTTTTTTTTAAAACGATTTCAAATCGTATTATATTTTTAGCGGTAACCTCTTTCTCTAATCAAATTCAGAAATTGTGTCATCAAGTCACAGCTGTTGAAATTTTCCACTTGAGAATTTATTTTCCTATTTTCTTTTGCCTGCATATTATGTTTATACTAAGTCTATCATAAGTAAAAGCACTAAAAAACCGGTGAGAGAAGAGATCACATTTTCATAGTCATTAATGTCCATTTGAAATCTAATTTTCTATCTTTAAGACCGATATATAACACATTTGCTTGGTCAGACTTTCTCCGGGTATATCACCTTACAATCCTT